CTAATAAATGAATGATCTGCCTACGGCTTGTTTGAAAACCCGCCGAGCATCGTACGACGTTCGGCGGGTGTGTAGCATTTCCGTAAGATAAAAGCCAGACGGGCCGGTGTGCTCAAGCGCACACTGCCCGTTCGGCATTGCGGTCATCGGAAGACCGCCCCTCAGGGGGGCGCGGCTTGCGATCATCGCAAGTACGATCTGCCTATGCAAGATAGGCAGATCGTTGGTTGCGATGGTTGTAAGGTGTGTGCCCAGCCTTAAGGTGGCCATACACTTTACAACCCTTGCAAGACTTTTGTCATGCGGGTGTTGTAAAGTACTTTAAAAAAACGTACGATCTGCCCATCTTGGACAGGCAGATCGTAGTTACGATCATCGCAAGCCGCGCCCCCCTGAGGGGCGGGTTTCCGATGACTGCAATGCTGAACGCGCATGGTGCGCGTGCGCACACCGGCCCGTTCGGCAGTCATCTCTCGATCATGTTAAAAGCCAGCCGAACATTGTACGATTCTCGGCTGGTTTTCCAACATGCTCGAAATACAAAAGTCGTGCGACCGTACATTAGAGACGGTTGCACGCCTTTCATGCACTGCACGATTATCGTACGATGGTGGGATTTCCTGCGATTCTCGTACGAGAATCGTGCAGTGTATGGGCACCTTCACTGCATGTCAACAGCAACAAGAATGACAAAGTGTAAGTGGTCCCCCCTATGGGCTATATGTTCCAGGCAGCTTCATGGCTGTGAAGATTAGTAACAGGCCAGACCCCCAGATATTGGCACAGATTTGATCATTGCTATTGGGCCATGACCTACAGACTTCCAGGTAGCAGAACAATTGTGATATTTAACTGAGGCCGCGCATTATCTCAGCTGTGACTTTGAGAAGTTCTAGTGATCATGATGTGTCCCTGGTGATAGGATTGGGGAACAGTTCTGCTGGAAGGCCATTGGAATGTATAAGATTGGTAGATTCCGGGAGAAATTGCTGGGCTCATGAAGGTGCTACACAGTTCACACTTTCCTTTGTTGTATATCAAATAGATGATTTCCTTCTGTTAGAGATATGTGGGTGCTGTATAATCTCCTCTGACCAGCAGCTGGCAGCAGACTGATATAAAAGATGTGGGGGTGCTGTACACTCTCTGACCAGCAGCTAGCAGGATGGTATTAGCGATGTGTGGGTGGTGTATTTTCTCCTCTGACCAGCAGGTGGCAGTGAAGTGGTATTAGAGATGTGTGGGTGGTGTATATTCTTCTACGACCAGCAGGTGGCAGTAGGGTGGTACTATAGATGTGTGGGAGCTGTATACTCTCCTCTGACCAGCGGGTGGCAGTGAGGTGGTGTTGGTGCTGTAGTTTCACCATAGCTGGCCTGTTTTGGTTGCTGTATATCCTGATGAGCATGTGGTGAAAGGCTGATTGGTGTTGGACATGTGTGGGTACATACTCTCCTCTGGCCAGCAGGGGGCAGCATGCTGCTGTTGGACATGTGTGGGTGCTGTATTCTCATCTTTGGCCACCAGGTGGCAGCACGCTGCTGTTGAACGTGTATGGGCACTGCATACTCTCCTGTGGCCACCAGGTGGCAGCATGCTCCTGTTGGACGTGTGTGGGCACTGCATACTCTCCTCTGGACATGTTGGACGTGTGTGGGTACTGCATACTCTCCTCTGGCCAGCAGGGGGCAGCATGCTGCTGTTGGACGTGTGTGTGCACTGCAAACTCTCCTCTGGCCAGCAGGTGGCAGCACGCTGCAGTTGGACGTGTATGGGCACTGCATACTCTCCTCTGGCCAGCAGGGGGCAGCATGCTGCTGTTGGACGTGTGTGTGCAATGCAAACTCTCCTCTGGCCAGCAGGTGGCAGCACGCTGCTGTTGGACGTGTATGGGCACTGCATACTCTCCTCTGGCCACCAGGTGGCAGCATGTTAGGTTCGGAGGGGCCTACAAGTTAAAAGATTTAAAAAAAAGTGAATGGGGTTCCCCCTAAAGGTCATAGGAATCCCACCCCAAAAAAGGGGGAAAATAAACGTGGGGTCCCCCCTAAAATTTCCAACCAGACCCTTAACCTGAGCACAGGCCTGGCAGGAAAGGGGTGGGAGACGAGCGTGGGGGTGGGGGACGAGCGAGTGCCCCCCCTGCACCATACCAGGCCACATGCCCTTGGCATTGGGAGGGTACTTTTCCGGGGGTCCCCCTTGGAAAAGCACCTTGTCCCCATGCCGATGAGGACAAGGGCCTCTTCTGCCTCAACCCTGACCCGGTGGTTGTGGGGGTGCGGGCAGGGGAGCTTACTTGCATAATTTTAATAAAGGGGGCACCTAGATGCTGCCCCCTGTGTATGAGTAAGGGGTACTTGTACAGGGGGCCCCTTGTCCCTATCGGCATGGGCATAAGGTGCTTTTCCAGGGAGGACCCTGGAAAAGCACCCTGCTATGTGGCCTGGTACGGTGCAGTAAGAGGGGCCGAATTTTCGGGGGGACACCACATTTTTCCCCCCTGTATTTTGTGGGTGGGGTTCCCCCTTAAAATACCTACCAGACCTAAAGGGCCTGGTATGACTTTTTGGGGGGAACCCCATACACTTTTGTTTTTTAATCCCCTCCCCCTGTCATGGCAGAGAGCAGTGACAGGATCGAGAGGTGAGCGAACGCCGGTATGTATTCGCTCACCTCCCGATCTACTGAGCCGACCTGTGACAGTCTCATTGTCACAGGTCGGCTAGAATAATGAGGCTGAGTGAAAAGCACTCATCTCATAGTTCTCCTTTAACTTTCCTAGCAGACCTAAAGGGTCTGGTATGGATCGGGAGGGGGACCCCATTCCGGTTTTTTGTTTGTTTACATTTGCATGGCGCATTCTCCCGGCTTCGGCTGTGACTTCGGGACATATGCGTTCGGCTCAGCTGAGCTCTTCGGCTGCTGTACGGGTATTGTGAATATTGTGAATGGACCATACAGCAGCCCCTTCGGTTTGGCTGAACCGAAGGGGCTGCGGCGGCCAAAGTGAGCCGACGGCTCAGCTGAAGCTACGGCTATATCCTTCGGCTCCATAGTGAATAGCCCCCTAAAAGTGTGTGGCCCCTGTACACTCTTCTCTGGACAGTAGGTGGTGCTGGGATGGTGTAGATCAGTGGTTCTCAACCTGTGTAACCTCGGGACCCACATTTTTCCTTGGTCATTAAGTCGTGACCCAAAAATGATTCATTTCTGAGACATTTTCATTTATTACACAAAACAACTTGTGCACGATTCAGCAACGTATATATATATATATATGCACATTTTAAACATTATTGGGGGTATGGAATTGTATTGTGGGGGTATGTGGGGGTTTGGAGCTTTAGTAGGGGGTAGGGGCAGTATTGCAGGCAGGGGCGTCACAAGGGATGTGTGGCCCTCACAGATACCATCAGAGGGGGTGGCACCGTAATGACTGACAGGAGCCAGATGCAGTCCCTTTATCAGGCATAACAATGTGACACATGGTCACATTTTTGGTTACATATACAAAATGCAGTTACATCGAGTAAATAGATACCAAACATGTCAAGTGTTAAAATTGCATGCACCTCAGCAATGGCGAAAAACTATGCTTCACAACATTGTCCATAGGTGACGTTTTAAAAGCCTGTACAGGTCATCAGCTTAGCGTTAACCATTTGGTCCTGTAGGCTGCTGGAGGTGGAGTCCTGTAGGCTGCTGGAGGTGGAGTCCTGTAGGCTGCTGGAGGTGGAGTCCTATAGGCTGCTGGAGGTGGAGTCCTGTAGGCTGTTGGAGGTGGAGTTCTGTAGGCTGCTCAATGGTGGAGCCCTGTGAGTTACTGGAGTTCTGTAGGCTGCTGGAGGTGGAGTCATGTGAGTTGCTGCAGGTGGAGTGCTGTAGGCTGCTGGAGGTGGAGTCCTGTAGGCTGATCAATGGTGGAGCCCTGTGAGTTGCTGGAGATGGAGTTCTGTAGACTGCTGGAGATGGAGTCCTGTGAGTTGCTGCAGGTGGAGTCCTGTAGGCGGAGTCCTGTGAGTTGCTGGAAGTGAAGTTCGGTGACCTGCTGGAGGCGGAGTCCTGCAGGCTGCTCAAGGTGGAGCCCTGTGAGTTGCTGGAGGCGGAGTCCTGTGAGTTGCTGGAAGTGGAGTTTGGTGACCTGCTGGAGGCTGAGTCCTGTAGGTTGCTGGAGGCGGAGTCCTGTGAGTTGCTGGAAGTGTAGTTCGGTGACCTGCTGGAGGCTGAGTCCTGTAGGTTGCTGGAGACTGAGTCCCGTAGGTTGCTGGAGGCGGAGTCCTGTGAGTTGCTGGATGTGTCGTTCGGTGACCTGCTGGAGGCGGAGTCTCCTGCACATAGGTGGGCTGTAGATCCATTATATACAAAGGGGGATACAATAATATATATATTGTCCACTGTAGCTGATGTCAGGGGTGTGAGGTCTGCATTGTGAAGTGTGACATTCTACCCATTGGGAATTTTGTATCCTTGTATGTTTTTCCTGGCAGGAGTATAAGATTTCGGACAGAGGACTGCCGCATAACTCCGCCCATCCCAGTCATGTTATTGGGGTCCGGTTTGGTCTATTTTGGCTAAGGGCTGACACCCCTCCTGAGATATGGCCGGTGCTGGCGGTCTGCACACTGATCACCCACTGAGTGGTGCGATCATCCAACCTCCATCCCATGTCTATGGTCCCCATTACATTCTGTGAACCCCTTTCTATGGACATGCAGAGAATATA